AAACACAGCCTTTGGCAGTTTTCGCGCCCGTTAATGATCAGAATTCTGAGCCGATGGCGTGAGCCGACGGCAAGACATGAAAAAAAAACACTAGCTCTCTCCTAACTCGATTTAAAACTGTTAAAATATTGACCTTGTGATATACAATCCGAGTGAAACGCCCTTTAAAAAACACTGCTTTATGTCTCCCAGGGGGGATCCTTTTTCTAAGTACCTTCAGCTCCGAAATGAGTGTCGTATGTTCTAAGTATGCACAAAATGGCTATTCACCTTTTAATTCAAGGTGGAGTTGACAAGTTTAGGATCGTTTAGGCGGCACTTAAATCCAGCGCGTTAATCCATTCCTCGTTCTTAACACGATAAAAACTTAATTCGCTTGTTTACAAATAACGCGATACGATTTACGCATCTAAGTTAAGAATTATTCTAATGAAAGCCCCTTGTCCAAGTGTTGACTTCAATGTTTAACATACCGTGACATGATTTTTTTCCGTTGTCTCTATATTGCTAACCAGCGGAGAGATGAGTGGAAGCAACTGCGAGTTAATTGATCGTTGCTCAAAAAGATGCTCTTGAATTAACATTCTTTGGCGGATGAGGAACTATACGTGTTACAATCGAGAATTAAGAGACAAAGATTATGGGATTAAGATAATTTGCACATGCTTTTCCATTATTTTTCTTTGTCAAGAAAATGTAAAGGCTGACCTATATAGATTTTTTGCGGGTCCAAACATCAAGGATGTTGCTTAGAAACAAGGGTATTGCTAGGTTCATAAGATGCAGACTAGAAAAAGCAGTTTCCGAAGAAAAAAATGCACGAGTGGAAAGATAATTTTCTGACCTTTTATGGTATAGTTTAAGACGCCATATGCATTTACCCTCTGAACAAGGCTCATGTCTATCGACACTATGCTACACTTTATCAAGAGATTTTATGCACAGTCCTGCCCGAGTTTATTTCTGAAATCGGAAGGGGGTACTACACTGTTCACACCCCTATATTTTCTCGTATTTCAGTATTCGATCGTTGAACGCGCGGATAGAATCGCGAGAGAACTGGACGCCAGCGCAAAACTGGAGACTTGTCTTGCTCGCTTCCCTCGCAAACCCGCTCGCTTCGCTCGCTTTTTCTTTCGAGTGCATAAATAGAGAGGCTGTGAACAGTCTGGGGGGTACTGCCTTATATGAACCATATATAGGTATGTGCGGCCTCGAAGGGTTTGGTTTTTGAGGTGTTTTGGTCTCAAAAAAGGTATAGATTTTGACCATTTCGGTCTGAAATATGGTATGTTTTTCACTCTGGCTTGGCATTGGGTATTTTGTTTCCAAGGAACTATTTTTTCCTCTTCCACTTATGCACCAAGAAGTTTGTGAAACATAAAATTTAGTCCAGTTCAAATTCGAGAGGGGTGGTACGTATGTTGCATTGTTTCCCGTTCCCCGTTAATCATACCCCTAAAAACACTATCGATCTTATCCAGTCTAACAGCGCGCGTTCAAAGAATCGAATGGCCTTAATTTTAGTGAACCATAACCAGCTTACCCTCCCCCTCCTTCGCAGTTCACCACCTCCATCATGATCTCATACAATGGTCAATGCTAAAAAGCAGTTTTGTTCCAAATCACAAGATGGTGTTTCTGTAGGCTGTTTCAGCGATTTGAAGTTGATAATTCTTTGCCTGTTTTGAATGCTGGGGTTTTCTTTCAGCTATTTTCGGATTTTAAGTTTCCCGCGCGCCGCTAAGTCTATTTGTGCATAGCTTGATGGAAATTTATGACGTCAATGAGTGGCATGGTTTGACGTTATTGAAATACAGCATTGCGTAACTCTAACGGTATAAAAATACTTTAATCATTAAAAGTTCACTTCGTATTCGAACCACTTACAGAGATATCAACTTTTAAAAAACCCCAGAATCAGTTAAAGAGAACCATTAGGTATTCTTTGGAATTTGAACTGCTTTTCAGCCAAGATTTCCTTTACTACCTCTGGCATGACGCATAGTTAATAGGGGGGGATGGCAAACATCAAAGAAGCAAACAAACCGGCTAAGATTTATGTTGGAAGGTCCTTGACCCTGCGCATCTTTTGTTTTATGCTCTGCATAGACTCTGCATGAATTACGTCATCACAATGCTTCTATTGGTTACTTGTATGAGCACACATAACCACCTTTTGTATTTTGCCAGGCTTTTTGCAGGGTCAACCCCCAAAATAGCAAACAAATACATACAACAAAGAGCTTTGCCAGGTTTCATAACCATTCTTTCTATTATAAACTATGGTGTGTAGTGAGTGATGAACAAATCTAGAGATATCCTGAATCAAGCTTAGTTAGTTCTAATTGACTGGTGTTGAAACATAATAAAAAAAGGCTACAGACTGGGGAAAAACGCATAATAAAAATTAATTAAAAGGCTAAGGCTTTAAGAGAGTCTACTCTAGCCATTACGCACGTCAGTAATGGCTATACGTGCAATCACCAGAAAGGTCATAAGTTCTCTAGCTATGTTACTCAGATAAGTCGTTTAATTGAGCAGTAGCTGTTTTTTCTTTCAATCTAAATTGTCCGGACAAGACTGTCATTGATCCTTCCTAAGTTATCGAACTACTCTTGTATGTTTACGTAAAATAAGATACTTCAAAGTTCAAGCCAGTTGGACTACTTAACAGGCTCGTTGTGGCGGTTTATTAGAAATTAAAGAGCTGGAACAATCGCTCTTTAATTCATGAACAGAATGTTTAAAGCCCGTGCAGTTATGAACAATTTCCAATTTCGTTTCCGCTCAGAGCAGTAATAAAGTCAAAAAGCACAGGAGATCACTGAAATGAAAATAGAAAATCGAATTATCTCAGGATTGATATTCAAATTCTCTCAAGAAAAATTAAAGACTGAATGCGTGAAAAGCATTTAGAAGAACATCACTGCTAATGACACTGGTGTAAGGTGAGCCAGGAGGCAACACTGAAGACTTCAAAAAGTAAAATCGGGTAAATTGTGCCTGGAAACCATTTATTTCAGGGTACTTTATCCTTTCCTTTCTAGTCGATGGCCAAAGGATTACTATACCTCAATGAATTGAGCGCCAGAAAGCGCCAGTGGAGTTAGCCGACACGAGGCAAATAATACTACTGTCTAATCCATTAATTGATACTAGGCCTCATTTTCTGGATGGAGTATTATGCTTATCTAACTTTGGACCTCCTCCAGGTTCGAAATCAATATACCCTGTACTTCACTATCAATCAGCTGAGATGTCTACTATTTAATCCAAAGGGGAGTTAGCGTTTTTCGAAAACGTTTATGATGGAATTAATTTATTGACCGTTCTTGAGTTTCTTGCTCTGAAAAAAAAAGAAAGAAAGAAATACAACAAGCCAATGCACTCTCTTATAGAGAAAGGTATTATGCGTTACGAATCAGTCATGAGGTTATCCAAGCGTTGAGTTCAATAATTGGCGTAAAATAACGTGATTTTCTTTGTCTCAGAGCAGAGAGGACAAAGCAGAGAGGACGTGAGAAGAGACATTCAACAATTGTAAGTTAGTCGATCCTTGTTCTCAAAATAGTGCTCTTGAATTAACATTCTTTCGCGGATTAGGAACTATCAAAGGGAAATTATCGAGACGGCGCAAAGATAAAAGATACGATACGGAAAGATTACTAAACAAGCAATGGGCTTTCACACAATCTAGCTGTGCCTTCCTTGAAACAAGAAGTATCATTCTACGTACAAGCCTTGAGGCTCAAGCTGACTTAGATCCATAATGTTTCGAAAATGAAAAGGAACATCCAAAAATGTTTCGTGATAGAAGATCATCAGCAAGATCACTGATAAGAAACTGTCAGATCTGCTTCCGAGAACCGACTGACCCGACAGTTTTTCAGCGTCGGAGANAAAAAAAAAAAAAAAAAACTGAACGAGCAAAATTTTAGGCACATTAGCAAAATGAAAAATAAGTATGACGTTTTTCGAAATATAATAACATACAGATTAATTTTAGTTTCTCCTTGTTTCGTGTTGAAATGTCAAACAGTTCATCAACGTAATTATTGTAATCAAAAATAAACGACGAAATATTCCGCTCTGTGGGGTCCAGAACGTGAAATTTTCCTGCGATATGGTTTCTACGCCATAAAATCTATCGTCTGATTTCCCTGTAATTATCGCGATGGTCTTTTCTAATTGGTCCATATGTGCCAAGGGTCCCAAAGACTGCTCTGATTGGCTACCGCTTGAACCGCGACATTGACAACCGCAGATAAAATAAAAAACAAATCAGAACTCATTCGCACAAAGCGCGGGAAAACGCGCGAAGGACGAATCGCGTAGCTCCTTTAGAAATCTTTCAATGTCAGTAGTAGGCATCAAAACAATGCAAAAACGATTTCTCTGATCTGCAGTGAGGGACGAAGGTACCATCTCTCTCTGGTTGCAGGTTTACATTCCGTTTGTGTGATTGCTTAGTTTTCAAGGCACGCAGCTTAAAATTACCGAGGTATAAATGTTTGAATGAAAGGTCCTATAGACTTCGCCTGCTTTGAAATGTTTATGAAAGAAGGACGAAAGAAGACTAGTAACCAGTGGTAGCTCCCATTAAAAGAGTGATGTGTCAACGAGGGCCTGCCGGATTATTGGGCAACCTCATTCCCAGGGTCTCTCATTTTCCTGCCCTTCTCTCGCCCCCGTAGGGTGGGAAGTTGAGAGAACCTAGGGACGAGGTTGAAATAATTGATTGATTGATTGATTGATTATCGGGCCTGGGGGTGCACAATAGACAAGTATGGTGTGTAGCTTTATTTGTTGATTGTAATTCCATAAAGACTCGCAAAGTCACTCTGGCTCCAGCTGGCAGGACCATAACACTCTCTTTCATCTCCCTTGGAGAGAAAGCGTGGGATCTAGGTTGGTTCACCTGGTTGCCACTGTCTCTCTTCTTCTTCTCCCACCCTGGGAACGAGGTTGAACGTGTCGTACAAGAAACGAACAACAGCGCTAGAAAATCTAAAACTTTATTTCTTATCCTAAAACTAAATATTCATTATATTTTCTCTGTATAATATAAACGAGAGATTTCGCTGCACGAGCCAGTAGAGTTATGTTACAAAAGCATATCTTTAGAAGAGTGTACTATACACATATTTACAAGTATCGAGTCGGCTTTTCTTACATTTAACCTACAATACAAAACATTACAAGCCGCATGCTATCTCCACGCTTTCCTTATAAAAAAATATTTTAGAATTTTGTTGTTGCACACAATATATCATTTAAATCTTATGGTGAAGGGGGAATACTTAGTTCTTTCGTTTGTGTGAAAATTATGTATCCGAAATAAGTGAGTGTTTGAGAAGGCGATTTGCGAGTGCGCACGTGACATGCACGAAGCAATCGTTTTCTACGAAGCCACGCGCAGCGAGAGTTTCGCCCGAGGGAATGACCCGCAACATTCCCGCGGGACGCGACTTTCCCTCTTGTTTCTGAACTCGCGCATGTTCAATAGCTGCCAAAATGAAAGACAATGCTCGTAGTCGAAGCAGAGGACAATTAAATGATGAAAATTATGTACAATGATTTTTTTAACTCCGACAAAGCGTGCATAAGAAACTGAACAATCGAACGTGGTAATCAGTGGTGAAGAACGTTTAGGAATATATATCGATAACATTTGAGAGAAATCACGTGTGAAATGCAGAAACCCTCGTCTGACTGAGCATAACCCAGTCTCGTCGTTATATGACTCGTTTCAGCACAAGAAAGGAAACATTGAAAATGAATAATTTGGATGATCATTACATTTTCAACTTTTCCTCGCTAAGCAGGGTGATTTTAGTGATGTCATTCCAGTATCTGGGCTTGTCCCACTCAAGGCGTGACTAGTAGCTCTCTAGCATTCGTCTAACTGCTTGTCCCATTTATTCTTAATCAAGGCCCTAACAAGAGGCAGACAGTTCTATCAGCAACACTTGTATCTATATGTCCATCACCCAACTTCGCCATAACTCAAATATTTTTCAACAAGTAACACAACTCTGGCGCTTTCTGATCTTGTCCATGGGATAACCAATAACTTCTGTGTTGCCGGGGACACCGACCTCCCGCGTTCGAAGCATCCGATCTCTGATTGGTTCATTTCAACCAGAAAGACAGCCAGTGACGGCTAATGGGTTTAATTCCCAACACAACCAACTAGAACGCAATGTGAACACGACCATCACTACCTACTCCGTATACCACGCACGTAATATATACACATTACAGCTCTGTCTGAAGAGTCTCACTGTTGGGATCGTAGCTACCGATGCAGCAGAACACGCGATCTGACAGCGAGGTCCTGGTGCCGGGTGTATCTAGAGACTGAGAGCGCCGTTTAAACTCTTCTGGAGTGAGCACCTCACATTTGTGGGATATTGTTTGCACGTCGTTTTCGTCCACGTGGGTTGAGCGATACAAGGATTGCTGTAAACAAGAAAACGGAATCACCCATGATCATTATTACCATGACAAATAGGATATTGACAATAAAGTTGACAGTTACTTGTTAGCTAACAGGACTTTGAGCGCGATGCCCAACGACTTTACCAAGCAGAAGGGTGTCTGAAGAGTCCCTTAGTCGGGACGAAACGAAAGCGCTGCGTCAGACTAGCAACGATCACCGTATTATCACAAATAGGACATTTCCGCAAATTAGAAGTGCTGCGAATACTGCCACATCACTGACAAAGTGACGTGCTTCGAGGTTTATGATGTACAGATCTAAATTCGCATCGAAAAGAACACCAGCAGCACACAGCGGAAAAGAGAAGAAGAACGTTACTTATCGACCTGATTTTTCAGTCGCACACTTAAATAGCGGAAAACAGCTGAGGTCTCTTTAACGCTCTTCAAACTTTCCTTATTACATTAGTCTGGAGAATTTTTTATATTTATCCTTTATTATTTTATCATTTATTTTCTATGGAACGAATTGTACTTATCATGTTCTCTCTGATCTCTCAACTTAACCATACCTTGCCATCTGAAGGCCTTCTTCCTGGTTTAGTTTCTTCCGGATGATAAAACCACTTGACTCGTACCACCATGTTCCCCACGCACCCCTCCCACATGTTCTCGATTCTACCAACATACGGGAGATTCAAGTTCTTTGTTGGGTTGGACATGAAAACTGCGCAATCACCAACCTGTTAAACAAGTACAACAACTTGAGTATGCATCTACGAATCTGATTGGCTGAGGACACAACACCTTGACTCTGATTGGTCAGAGGGCGCTGCTTGAGTGTTATGAGCCAATGGGTGACGAGCGCAGCAAAAAGCGAAACAAAAGCAAATTAAGTCGTCGATAAAGCTCTTCAATTATGAGAAAAAACAATGAAAAAGACCGGGAAAAGGCAGAACAACTCACACAAATCGTTTCGTCTCCTCTCACGATGGACTTGTAGAAACTTTTCTTTCCTTTTCCTTTCCTTTTATTTTGGAAACTTCTCCCCGACCACTGCCACAAAGGCCCTGAAATGACAAACCAGAAAGGTAAGTACAAGAAAAAAAAATCCTACCTTGTGTATTTCGTTCCTCATACTAACACTCAGGAATGATGGAATGTCATCACTTCAAGTTGGAAGGTTACTGATTTGAAACCAACTTCTCCCAGGAAGTGGTTAAAAAATCTTTAAAACTGTGACGAGCTACGTCACGGTTTGCGAATCTTGTAAAGGTTCGCCTAAATTTTTCAAGTTCGCCGTTTGTAATTCACGCAAATCTTGTCCATCCTTAACCATTCTTCTGTCTTTATTTAGCTCTTATTAACTGAGCAGGAGGTCTGTATGGAGGAACCTTGACCGAGGTCAACATTCTGCCATACAGACCGACTAAGCTCGGTTAATAAGATGTTTATATGCCAAACAAGAAAAATTAATCCATTTAATGTAACTGGTTTGTACTGGCTGACACTTCGCTTGCGAACGGAGATGAGCTGAAGTTAAATCTGACAAAGTTTGCTAGATAGACTGAAAATCTAGAAATCTGACAAAGTTTGCTCGGCCTCTTTACTGTTTTTGTTGTTGTTGTTGTTGTTTCTCGTCAAGGTTTTTGGCACTTCCATAAATTATAAAGAAGAGAATAAAACAAAATAGTTAATATTTTTGTATTTTAGTTTACAACTTTGTTACCGCAAAATGTGAACGGTCTAGATAACGGTCTAGATGCCGGTCTATATGGGGAAAAACTATCGTTTTCAGTCAATCAAATTCGTGAATTCAGTAGCTCCCAGTCCCTGTGAGACACAGTCTTATAATAAGGATTATTATTATCTCTTTGGTGTTTTTCTACCTTTGTAAACTATTATTTTCAGGTTCCCTTCAATTTAAAGGCAATTTTGCGTGTGGGCAAAATAACTCAAAATACCGTGACTGAGCTGCTTTAAGACAACAAGAGAAACAAGCCTCGTTGATCATCAAAATACACCGTACAACAGAAATTCCTCATCAAGTTTAAAATTTCAGCTAACTGGAAACTGGTGATTTAATGACTGACTCCAGATATTGAGCAAAAAAGAAAGTAAAAGCATAAACTATGGTACGCATCTCACCTGAATATTTCATGTCCACCTGCAAACGATCAATCTCTGAGCGACGTCTCCTTCCAAAACGAGGCTGAAATCGATGAAAGAAACACGATAAGATGTCAATACCCGCTGGTGATTGTTTGCAGAATCCTGGCACCCTTATTTGCAAGTGGAACCGCTGCGCAATCTATGTCAGAGTCGCGAGGGGCACAATCAACATTGTTTCCCAAACGTAACGTAAAACACTTCGTCTACACTAGTGCCGCTTTCAACTGAGTGTCGCAAAACCAAAACAAAAGTAATCGCTCTAGCCAATCACAAAGGACACAGACAGTACAGCGAACCGATCAAAACTAGAAGGAATTACATGTAGCAGATGCAAAGCGCGGGAAAACGTTTACGAAAGAGTTATCAATAGTTTTGATTTACTTCTGATTGGATGAAAATGGGGCGCGAGTGTTTTTTTTTTTTTAAGCCAATCGTGTAGCGTAGTTAGTGCAAAACTAATTGCTTTTCGACACTCAAATGAAAACCGCTCTAATCATGAAATTAAGGGAATGAGTTTTCCCAGCTGATTGGCGACAACACATGGTGGGGCGACACAACAGGCGTTTGTGAACAGTCGTGTCGTAGTTACAGACACTTCCCTGGGGCTTGTCAACCTTAAAATACACTAAATATTTTCACAACGCGACATCATAATATTATTCAATTTGGTTGTCTTGGAGTAAACTAATGCATGAATTTATGATAGTGCCATCTCACCTGAAAAGACTTATTTTCGACCAGCGGACTCTCGTCAAAAGCGTCACTGTACGACTCGCTGTCCTCGTCTTGTGACGTAGACAAAACATCACGTGTCGGGCTCTCGCCTTCGGCCCGTGAAGAACGAAACGAGCTACTTAAGCTCAAATTAAGGGACCTCCTTCTGAGGTCCTTTTCAGACGTTCTTGAGGAACCTTTTGTTCCAGCCCGAGGTCCTTTTTCGTGTTTAGGCGTTTCTACATCCGATGTGGCTTCACTTTCTTCTCCCTGATCAGAGGACTCCGTGTTATTGTCCATAGCTGTGCGCGTCTTCTCAGACGATTGTTTAGAATTATTTTCATAACCCTCCGTTTTGAGGGACGAGTCGCTCAGATGAATCTCCTTCTCGCATTCTTTTAGTTCCGCCGAAGCAACTGTAGCCAAGTCTTGTTTTGTGTTCTCCACAGTTCTAGATGCCGCTTCCTTGTTCTCTACTTTCGTCTCCGTTTTGCCGCGCACTTTATTCGCCTTCTGTTTTGGTGCATCCGCAACTTTGCTTTCTTGGCCATCGTTACCACTTTGACTCTTATCTTTGACTCTTGTGAGAGGTCCCATGTTTTCAGTGTCACACTTTTCCGCATCCTTCGTTTTATTCTTCAATGTTTCTCCTTTACTTGAACCAGTCTCTTTAGCGGTGTTAGCCAAGCGTTTTGAAGGAAGCCACGAGTCATCCTTGCTCTTCCTTTTCCCTCTCAGCCTCCGTCTCTTCGCATGAAGCTCGCCAGAACTCTCGTTCCCGGATGAAAACTCTGACGTGTTTTCCTCTGCTCTTAGTCTTAACCTTGAACTCGCCGTAGCACCTCCCAGGGAACTGGACCGAAATCTTTTCTCTGGCAGGGTGGGAATGGACTCCGAATCTGAAGGAAACATTGTATATGGGTTAGATATTGCAAATTAAGAAATGTCACTACCCCTGCTAGTACTTAACAAACCTCCGGATATCTATAAATATAAAAAAACAACAACAAAAGAACGATCCCGCCAGATTCTCCACTTAAGAGAAATGCCAAGCGAAATAATAGTTTTACCCCTGGAGATCATATTTTTGGAAGAAAATGATAGATTAATGCTAAAAAAGGTTCAGATACATGTGTGATAACCAACTGGCACGTTGGTAGATTAGTTTTGGCGACGAGAGTGAAGGCGAGGAATGAGAATGAAGAGATTTCTTAGCAGTTTGCGGGGAGTTTAGGCCCTGTCAACACTACTCCCGGGAAATTTAAAAAATGGCGTTTTCACTCTGAAAACACATCAAATATTTTCCGTCCACACTACGCCGGAGAAATTTGAAAACGCATCGATCACCGGCCATTTTGGATTTGTGTTTGAGCAAAACTCGGGAAGAAAAATCACGTGATTGCCGTGATGTCATCGTTTTCGAAAAAGCTCTGTTTTGCAAACATTGTCTGTCCACACTAAAACGCCGGGCACGTTTGAAGGAGCGTTTTCGAAAAGCTCCGTTTTCGGTTCAGATTAGTGTGGACAGTAGGCTTACCCATAGAAATAAAACTGCGTTTTCAAATTTCTCTGGCGTAGTGTGGAGGGAACCTTGGCCACTACCGGTCTCCTATATAGCCCAGGGGCATAGCCTGGTCTCCTATATAGCCCACGGGTACAGCATTCGACCAGTCTTACGGGAAGCCATGGGTCTCACTCCTAATAGGAGAACTCGCAATTTTTTCTGTATTACTTGAGTCGCTGAACAAGTTGAGCTAACGATACGTTTACCTTCAACAGGAAAGTCTGGATGTATTCTTTTGATTTCATTCAGCTGGAAGAAGCCGCTGTCTCCATCGTCAAACTCGATCCAGATTTTCCCATCCACTTCCTTCTCGTCCGGTGGAGCTGCAAATAACGACAGGAAAGTTAGATGTACATAAGACCCACGTGTTACCCATAAACAAATCAGTATATAGAAGAACCTTGACGATATAACAAAAAGCTCTGGCCAAACGGACTTGCAAGTAGTCGCAAGTAGCCGCAAGTTGAACTTGCGTAGAAACTTGTGTTGGGTGGCCAAAACGACTAGCACGTTTCCTCGCAAGTCGCAAAAAAACCCGCTTCCAGGGTTACACATCCTGTATTTCAATGACGTAACATGAACAAGGAACAATTCAACTGAATTCACTTTACGTATACGAACACTTTTAAAAATCCTTAGGTCTTGCTAACAAAAACAGCCGCAACCACTTTCACAGTCTGTCTCAGGTTCAAATGAGGTTCGTTAAACCATAAGGGAAAACAATTCTGTAGTTTCTCACGCTTTAAAACCAAAACATGCATATAAAATGACGAATATTGAGAACTGATTCTTCAAAACGTGTATTATTACGAAATATCACACAACTTCAAGAGTTTGCCCCATTAGTATGGGGAGTTTCAGGAGTTTAAGGGGTTTGAGACTGAATTGCAAAGACCTTGCCTTTTAGTTAGAGCGCCTCGGTAAACATAAACGACAAGCGCGCGTTGTCTAGGTTATTGTTTTCTTATAGTCAGTAAAATAGAGGTCATTTTATACTAAGCTGGAAAGACATTGATTTTGACCTACATAGGCTTGATTCTAAACAATGCAGATGTAATTTCTCACTTTCAATTTCAGATGTAAGCTCACCTTCTGTAACAGTTCCCGGATAGAAGCACCTGTATTGAGGACTCCAGTGGGCACAAACACGTGTTCCAATGGAAAGAAACTTGTCGCCAGGCGGTTGAATATCCTTCACCTGTTCCAAAACAACATAACAACATCAGGTTCAGGTGAAAGAAAAATAAAGGGAGGAATGGCTCTCAATGTAAGGGGAAATGAGAACAATTCTTCGTAAATCTACGTAAAAGAGCAGGAATGGATTCCCATTTCAGTCGTCCAATCAGCAAACAGCGTGAGCAATGGCGTCACTGTTACTAGGCAACCCTTCCAACGCAACTGGCGCACTAAGTCAAATTGCGACCTAAAGAAGAACTCGCTCTTCCGACTTAACGACGATGTGGAAGACAACAAAGATGACAGAAGATACTCAGAACACAATACAAGGTTAATCCCTCGACTTACCGCCTGATCAAGCAGTTGTTCCGTCGATTTCCAGTGTGGCCTTCTGCCCCTTTCACCATCCAGGACCACTCCGAATCTGAAAATAAGACACGGTTAATTTATTCACTCGGATTACGTAATGCTGTTAAGTCATGTTCATTTGTGCCCAGGACTTTGGAGACGCGCACTGCCGGACGACGGACGGCAGACGGTCCAGAGACCAAGCTTGGTTGTTTTAAATTGGGTCATTTTGTACTTCAAGTTGAAGGAAACCTCGAAATTTGCAGTCAATTAAGGTGGAATAACACCAAAGGGAACATGGATGTTAAAGATTCGGGAAGACTGAGAAAGATCTTTTTCAAGATGCGACTAACATCAAACTCGCTAACTCTCCTTCTGATTAATTCCTAGCTTCTCTTTTCTTTTTTACGAATTAAGGACCTGGTAATCTTGGGGAAAATGTATTGAATTGAAACCAATTTCTCCCAAAGAGAACTCTAGAAAATGAGAGAACAAGAGTGAGGAGAATTTTGACATAGATTATACTTACAAGTCGGGTTCATTGAATGTACTGATGCGTCCAGGATAGAAAACAGAATCCACAGGAAGCAAGAGTTTGACGCCTTCTACTAGTTCGTCGACGAGAAACGTGAAACGGACGTCAACTAGAAAAGGAAAGAAAGGACAAAATCCAGTCATTGAATTATGCAAGGTTGATATATACATAGAGCGTTTAGTAGGAGGACAATGTACGTTCTGGGTTGTTATTTTTTTTGCGCACAGTACTATAACAACAAACGCAAACAACGTAACTCGACTATGAATCAATCAAAACTAGGAGCTAGAACATGCAGCTGGCGCAAAGCGCGGGAAAGCATGTGACAGGCTAGAGACGACCGGTTTGGAGGTTGCTTCTGATTGGTTAAAAAAACAAGCATGTTTCCTTTGACTGGCTAGGACTGGCTGTGAGAAGGTTTAAAAAAACGTACGACCACAACATACAGAATTATTTTCGACAGTCAATCGATACGAAGAGAGCAACACACCTGGTGATGTGGGACGTTCAACAACAGCTTCTTCTTGTTCCTTTATTTCCTCATTCTTGACATATTCCTGTAGAAAGCATAAAAAAGGTTATTTAATAAAAGGAAATACGAGTCATGTTACTATACTTAACTTATTGTAAACCAGTTATTATCGCAGAAGGTGCTGCAACTACTGCATATGATCACTCTTGCGGTTTGTCTTCCTTTCTCAAACTTCCTGAGGGAGAAACACGTTAATTTGTCCATTAAGCATATACGGCAGATTATCCGAGAACACAAAACCACACAACCAGTTACGCGACGCACCTAAATTGGTCCCAACATTGGGATCCTTTATGAATGTGACCTGTTTTCCTGTTTCCTGTTGTGCATCACGTGAAATGTTACAAGGATTGCGGTATCAGATAATTCTTTTCCGCCGGGTTTCAGTCTTATAAAGAGGCACGCAGCGCAAATTTGTAACTAAAACCCGGCAGAGGTCCGTGGTTGATGGACGGAACGCGCAAAAGGAAACAAAAGTTTACACTTCAAGTTGCCCCCACGCTGTTTACTGCCTTTAATCGTTTAACGCCGCAAATTTAACGTGGAAATAACAGGAAACGGTGCTTCTCGCTTCTCCTTTATTCGTTTTTGAATTTACGAAACAGAATAAGTCAAACCACCGGAAGAAATGAAGAGCAACTTCAATACTTCACTCCCATTTTTTAAATGTTCCTTGTGAATATCGCAGCAACTGTACATGTAGTGTTTCTTAAATCTTCCAGAGCAGTTTTCAATAGGCCAAGTTCGATATATCAATACTCTAATATGGCGTCGAGGCTTTCAGGACAAACTTCTATATTTGGTTGTGTTTTCTTTGTATCCAAGTCTCTTTAGGGAATCGAGAGACAAAAGAAACTTTAAAAAAATTGCGATTTTGTCCTGAAAGCCCCGGAGCCATGTTAGAATATTGATATATCGAACGTGGCCTATTGAGTATCGTAAAACCGAAACCAAAGTAATCATCACTCTAGCCAATCACAAGGACACAGACAAAGAACCAATCAAAGTGCGAAGTAATTACATGTAGCTGATGTAAAGCGCGGGAAAACGACTGCGAGTACGTAACAATTGATTTTGGTCTTACTTCTGATTGGATGAAAAAGTGGCGCGAGTTTTTTTAAGCCAATCGCGTAAACCAATTATCTTTCGACACTCAAATGAAAAAACGCTAACCTTTTTGACTTCTCCCTCTCCGGGTTTCTCAATCACTTCTGTATTTCTTATTTCGTCTATGACATTTCTCTCGTCCGCTCTCTCGTCTTCTTTCATCTCAACATCTACTTTCCCTTTCTCGTCCTTTTGGTCTTCTTCTATTGGCTCTACTTCTGTTTCCGGTGTTACGTCATTTCCGCTCTCTGCGCTGGCCACCTGTACACTAGGCTCTTCGACTGGTTCGTCTGTCGACTCTGTCTTGTCAGTCACGTTGATTTCCACGTCAGTTTCACCTTCTTCGTGTTGTTCTTCTTCGTCTTGAAGCTCGTCGGCTTCTTCCTCGTCCGCGTCATCAAAGTCAATCTGAAATCGAAAGATAACACCCCTAAATGAACACCAGATATAGCCCTCTTCCGATGACGATCGAAACGCGTGACCCAGAGGAATCAAGAATCACAGGGTAGCATAAACTTCACAGCTGTAGCACGGATGCTAACAAAAAGCAACTTTAAATTTATTCACCTGCATTACTTGCAAAAACTGTCGGACGAAAATAAAACCGTCCAACATTTTTAAGCGTCTGAACTATTTACAGTAGAGTATAAGACTTTTAAGAAGCTCCAAAGCTCTTAGTTTCCATTATGGAGCGATCCCTTGATGAGACACTGGTTGAGGTAAGTAAGAATTTGTTATTTTCTCGTCGGTGCATCTGTAAAACCCAGGGTACAGTAAAACTATCATTTACATAGATGTTGCTTCAGTGTAATTCGCGTTTTGTATGCGTAAATTTACTCATGTTACGTTTCCTCCGAAAGTTTAACGTCCGAGAGTTTTTGCAAGTAATGTATGTTTTGGTGTGAATTAGAGCGTTTAGAAAGCCGGATAAGCAGATGTTGTTTATTCAGGCGCATTTCAAACACGACCGTTAAATCACGTAGGAAAATGATCCAGTTTAAACTTCTAAACATATTTCAACAGGGATAGCGTCTCCTTTTAAAATTTTCACATTTTAAAGATCGTCATCTAGTAAAAGGGCTTTTGAAATTTTCGAAGCATTTTAAACGGTAAAAACTCTTGGTCACTGAGTTTGGAAAACACCGAAGGAAAACTGGCAGCATTACTGACCACGTTACAATCTAGGACAAAGTTGATTTAATACTCCAATATACATAAGCAAAATCCAATAAGCAAGCCTCAATCTATCAAAAATCATCGCCCCCTCCACCCCCCGTAAACATAGAAATTAACATTCCCCCCCCTTTCTTTCAAAGCATTGCCGTCCCCACCCCTCCCACACTAAAGTGAAAACCATTTTACCGTTTGCCGAGACTTGGAGCGCACTCTCCTGGACAGTTTAGATGATTCGTAGTCCTCAAATTCAGCAGTATTAGAAAGGTTTCTTTTCTTCCCTTTACCAGGCCCTTTCTTCTTCTTTGCTTTGGCCTTCGCTTTCTGTGGTATGACGTCACTCTCTCCCAGTTCCTCCTCGCCCTGGGACCCTGACCTGCTTGTTTTCTGCTTGAAAAGAACATGGAACTGATATCAACTCATTGTCAAGCTGTTGTAAGGTTAACTGTCGTTAGAAATTCGTCTTCGTCTCTCACTAAGGACTCTAGATGACTGTTGGCCATCTTCGGAGACCTCTTCAGCTAAAACTAAAATCCTTAAGTTCTACTCACCACCTTGGTTACGGACATCCTCTTCGTCTTCTTCATGTAAGAGAACTCACTTCCCTTGCTAGTGGGTGAGAGAGGACTGGAACTAGAGTTGGTGGTCACGCTGCTGTTGATGAAGATTCTCTCACTCCTTCTCGGTTGCCACTCGTCGCTTAGCAACGATGACACGCTCCCCTTCAATTCGTCACTCTCCCTCGGAGTGCTGGAGCCCGACTGTGTTGTCCTGACCTCCTTACTCTGCTCGGAAACTGGACGAAAGACTTCTTCATCTTGTTCGCTGTCTCCAGTCGCCATGGACGATTCCGGAAGCTTCTTGTCAAACTCGTCATGACATTCGAAAGTCGAGGGCACAGTTTCTTGGTGTTCTAGTGGTACTTCCGCGGGTCTCTCTTCGATGCTTTCGTCCTTTGGGGCACTGTCCTTCTTCTTCTTCTTTTTCTTCTTTTTGGGCTCTTTCGTTGAATCCTACAGAACAAAACAACAGTTTTTAAAATTAGGGAAGCTGTTGACAAGTTAAAACGCCGATCAATAATTTTAACTCTTGGCTTTTAAATCTCGGTCAATTATAGCGACAGAATGCAATGCCGCAGAGAGATAAAATAATACATTCTCGACAGTTTGAAGATGAACTGAGTTATTTGCAGAGAGGAGACTAGCGATTTTGAGCTTGAGAAATAAACATTACCTCTTCTATAACCTTCTTCTTTTTCTTCTTCTTTTGTGTTACTGGGGCATCTTCAATGAAATGGTGGAAGCATTTTTAATATTTTTCAATATTTTAATATTCAATATTTTTTAGAGATATCGATTTCAAATTCAGGATATCAGTAAAACCTAAATTAAAGAGGAACATCACATTTTACATTTTTGCTCACCTCTCTTCTTTTTTGCTCTCCCTCACTCCTTCCATCTCACGCCCCCTTCCCTCTTTCCTATGCCCCCCCCTCTATTACTCCCTATCTTCTTCCTCCCCATCTCATCTCTCGCTGCCTCCTTCTTCTACTCCTCGCCCTAACCCTGTCCGTCCCTCCCGACATTTCATCATCTCCCTTTCTCATTACCCCCAACTCCGTCCTTTCTCAGCTCCCTCTCTCTCCCACTTCCTCTCCCGCTTGACACTATTGTAATTTACCTGGTTCCAACGGTGGCGACTCCGTGGCTTTCTTGGGTCTTCCCCTTTTCTTCTGAGACAGGTCTTCTGAAGGCGAAACAGCTTCAGATCTCTTGCGTTTCGTAGGCTTATCAACACTTGCAAACGACGCCTGCGCTAACAAACTCAAACCATCGCGTCCATCATGGCTCGGAGAAAAAACATCGTCATCAACATCACTCGTCACCTCTCTGTTGTTCTTCTGCGCTTCCAGTTGCTTCCTCGCTTCTATGGCAACAACCTCTTTTGCAATATCGTTCGGAGACACGCTGCTGTTTTCGGAGAAACTATCGTCCTGTAACGTCACTTCTGGGAATTCGAATTTTGCTTTGGGAGGAGTGGTTGTGGAGGACTTTCGCTTCTTTTTGGTGCCCTTGGTTTTCTTGCCTTTGGTCGGCGATGGTACTCGAGGCGTTTCACACGTCGTGTCAGCACTCTCCGGGGGTAACTCGTCGTCCGCTTTCCCGTCGTCGTAACCTTCGCAAGTCTCGATGGTAAATTTCGGACGAGCTCGTTTCTTTGGCTTTGGCTTCTTCGCTTTCGCGTTCTTGGTCGTGTTCTTCGGCTCCGTAAAATCGGCGTTGCTGTCAAAGTCGTTGGCGGACCTTTCACTGATAGCTGCAAACAATAAAGAAATCCGCTTAGAAAACTAATAAAAGTACTCATTTTGGAACAGTGCCATGAGACAAAGAATTCAAAAACAATGAAACTTTGCCTGAGGTGTTTCCTNCCCGCCCCCCCAAACCTCCAGCGTCAGAAAGAGGAACTCCATGCTGATGACGCACATTACGGCTATACGTGTAGTGTTTTCATCGGGTCGGTCATTGCTTGATTCGCGCGCACGTAACAACCAATCAGCGGCAACGAAAGAATCTCTGTAGGGCTGCGTCATCACACTGGAATTTTCTGGGTCAAACCTCAGACGTCTTTCTAACGAGAATGAAAATGAGCTCGCGACAAGAAGTAAATAAAAACAGTTTATTTACCAGCTGGTGGCTCTGGGGTAGTCTGTCGGTTAAGTGTATCTTCTGTTGGCGATCCTTTCCTTCGTTTCCCAGTACCAGGTCCCTTCTTCTTCACGTTGGTGGGTTTGTTCTTGGAAGGTGCTACAGTGGGCTGCAATGCAAGTAAACAAAATATAAATTTAGACGGAACGTTCGTAAACAGACATCGAAGGTGCAATGGATTAAATTCACGTTATTTAAGTAACGTAAAACGATAGACTCAAATTCTTTTTAAGCCGAGCCCAAAATAGTTAAACAAAACACCGTCATCTTCACCAACAACAGTGATATTTTGCATTTTCAAAGCTGGTTTTCACTAGCGACGGAGTTGAAGTCGGAGTCGCACTCAGAAGCGTAGAGCCATACGATCTAGTTAAATTCAAATTGACCGAGTTGGAAGCAGAACAACGATTGCGCTTATAAATTCTTCGCTACTGTGAAGACTAGATTGTCGGAGTCGCAAAGAGACATTTATAGCATTTTGGTGGGTTGGTTCTTCCGCTCCTACTTCCAACTCCGACAATCTAGTTTTCACTGGATCACAACCGACGGAATCGGAAGCGGGATCGAAAAAACAGAAAACGTTTTTGAACCGTCCAACTCAGATTCCGCCTAGCTTATGACTCCGCTAACGACTCCGTTTTTCGATTTTAACTAGGTCATAAGCACTCTTCAGACTCCGACTCTGACACCGAATCCGACGTTAATGAAAACGAGCCTTCATTCACAACCATAATCAAAGATGAATTGCATTCCTTTACCTCCTCTTCCATGCCAGGTGGCTTACGAGATTTCTTTTTCTTTTCAACAGGGACCGGAAAATCCTAATAAAAAAGATAGCCAGATGAAATAAAAACAACAACAACAACAAAATGACGCTGAAAAACAGATACTGCCTAATAGGCCTTTCGCAGCTGGGGTAACGTGACAAAAGTTTTCCTAGAAAATTTTTATATTATGGGCTATAACTTAAAGAATGCCAGAAATGGAAAGAGCGTATCGAAAATACGAAAATGGCCAAGTTTGAGGCCCCTGGAGTAAGTTTATACGACAGTTTGAATTTTCGGAAAATTTAGAGGATTTGTATGTAAAATGTTGCTGGAGAACAAGGTCTTGCTCTCCAGCAACTTTTTCCATACAAATCTTCTTATTTTTTTAAAAATTGGGACCGTCATAAAATCTCCATCCTTACTGATGGGGGCCTCAAACTTGGCCATTTTGATATTTTCGACATGTTTTTCCCATTTCTAGCATTCGTTAAGTTATAGCCCATAATTTTATGAAAAATAGGTCACGTGATGGGTTAGCTGCAAAGGGTCTATACTTCACATCACTCCACTTACCGTAAACTCCACGGGACTGAGTCCGCGGGAAGGCGGCGCTGACCCGCGATCGTCCCGCTCTACGGGACTCTTCTGTTTGGCCCTTTTCTTCTTTTTCTTGGGCGGCTCGCTTTCCTTGGATACCAGGCTCTCCGACTCACTCCCGACAGCGTTCAACTCGGGCGACTGGGCCCTGCTCACTGGTAGCTTTTCTTCGCCTTCTTTGCCATAACTAGTTGGGGGTCCTGGGGAAGACTTGTCACCCTTGGAACTTGCGCCAAAGTACTTCCGCTTCCGGGGTCTTCCAGGGCCTCTTTTGATTGGTGTCGATTTGCCGTTTCCATCGTCGGCCCTGTGGAGGAGACAGACAATCCAAGGCAATGAGCTGATGCCTCAAAGTATTCACAAGTGTACCTACCACCTCAGCCGGTTTTCGTGACCTCGAAGTTTATAAGAGATCAAAGCGAAAATATGCAGGATTTTTGTTACAAAACAAGCAGTGGTAAATCAAATTTCGGCCGATAAACTAGGTGGATAACAAGTATTATTATATTTCCTTTTTGGCATATGCGGCGTAAAAAGCATAACTTTTCAATGAGTGACTCAAACGACGGGGGTGAACAGCGCAAGCGCAGTACGTTTGAACGCCGTTTGACCGCTGTGGTTAGAATAGTAAGGCAACACAACATCTTCGCGCTCTTACTTATATTGGGTTCTTTTAAAATCAAATGTAAAACGTAATCGAGGAAATGCTATATCTTCCATTGCAACTGGAAAAATAAAATTTTATTGAATTACATACCCGTACTTGGGCTGCAGTCGGGCAAGTTCCCTGACCTTCTCTCTGTATTTCTTCTGTAACTCAGCTAGTTTCATCCGCATCTCTTTCTCCACCGACTCCACGCCCGCCACGTCACTGATAGCACTCGTCACGCTGTTCAAAATCGTCGTCGGACTCCGAAGATCTTTCCGACGACTAAACACCATGAATCGGTCTTTGCTGTTCCGTCGCTTCGCCATTGACCGGAGTCGATCGATGTTTTCTCGGATTTGTTTTCGCTCGGCTTCGGACCTGAACGGCCTCAGTGAAAAGATTGTGGAATTTTCCTTGTTTTCAAGGTCTGTTTTAAGAGGGACAAAAGACGAGGCTATTCTACGAAGTTCGCACTTTGTGTTAAAGTCATCTTCCAACTCAGAATCGCTACCCATCTGGTCTGGAGGCGACAGTTTTTCGTACGAAGACAGCGCTTGAAAATTTCCCCTGTTATCTTCTAAAGAGTCCACGTTTTCCCTTAATCTAACGTTTGCAGGCTGCAATCCCCTTTCTGATCGTTCAATGTCTGATTTAACAAACGAGTTCGTCATCTCTCCATAGGAGTCAACTCTTTGAGAGTGTTCCCGTCGCGGTAAATGACTTTCCAAGTTCGGCACCATGGCTTTCTCAGAAACATCACGCACTATTTCGTTGTAGCTTACAGGAAGTCCCCTCTCGTAAGCCCTGAAAGAACCCTCGAACCGCTCTCTTTCTGCCTCGTGATCAGGTTTCTCTTGAGCTAGACGTTCAGAGGCGACATTTCCGAACGCCATCAATTTTTGAGGAAATTGCAGCGCTATCTGTCCCGCGGGGACTTCACGGGATTCCCGTGAGACGAGCCTCTCGCCAGCCAAGTTGGGTTGAGCCTCAAGTCTTCGGGGTGTTTCCACTACAGAAAGAACAAGAAAGATTTTGCTGTTTAAGAAATAAGTTTTGACAGTCTACTTCATGGGACAACAAACAACTTAACTGTGCATAAATAAAACAAATTCCTGCTTGTTTGCTATGTTTTTGCGTCCTCGTCAACTATCACGCGATAGAAATCTCGAGCGCATAATCTAACTGTTTTTGAATACATCCGTCTTCTAGCCGTTTAAACCTCTATCGAAATCCTCTTTAAAAGACAATTCAAAAAGGTCAATAAGCGGCCACCATATTGTTCACAACCGCACTCTATTCCGCTACTCACTATCTACAACACAATAGATAGTGATCAGCATAGCCAATTAGAGAACGGCATTCGTTATACCAGAGCTCAAGAGAAACACCGGAAATGTTTTCTATTTCTTAAATACTACTTTTCCTTACCTATTTCTTTGGTAATCGCTGACTCCACGCCAGGCAGCATGCTAGGAGACTTCACCCGATCCACGACGCCGTTACCCCCGCTAACAACCTGGGTATCATTCTTTGCAGGGGGGGTTAACCTTGAGGTCCACTGAGCCTCTTCACCGCGCGCTTTTTCCATGCTGGACAGCGTAACGGCAGCCGAAACAGTCTTTGGAGACACGCTGTCTCGGCCGACTTCCGATATCCCAGAGGAGGTGGTAGACACGGGAACAGTTAGGTTAACCTTGGGGATGTCCCTGGGAAAAGGGACTTGTGATCCCGGAAAAGAAAACTGAGAGAGGGGATCCCGCGATAAGTAGTCTTTAAGCTGTTTGGCGATCTTTCCCTGTGGATCAGATCAAAGGAACAAATGTAAACGTGTAATCTTCGGCATAATGATTTTTCGTGATGTGATGAAACGAACTCTTACCTGGGCACCCACCTGTGCATCTAATTGAGCTAGAACAGCATTGTGTCTCTCAGTTAGCTTTTGGTGGGCTTCTTTCAGCCAGCGGCTGTCAATCGCCGACTTCTCTTCACGCTGACTGGATGTTTCTTGCTGCTGAACGATATCATTATCACGTGATGCAGGTATGCGCTGCACGTGATCTTGCGACGTGGATGTCTCGGGTTTTGGTCTCGGCGCAGGTTCTTTGGCTTGACTTTCGGAGTGTTCTTGCGTTACTTCACGTGCCTTCTGTTGCAGATCTGCAGACTTTCCATCTTTACTCTCGTCCTAGACGAGCAATTTACAATTGATTTTTCTCAGCATTTTAAGAGGCAAGTTCTTGTAATATTAAGATTCCACGACAAACGAACGGTCTTAAAACTGAATCAAACTAATTAACAGTTTGAAATGATGGGGAAAGAAACAAGAAAAAGAAATACAAAGCCGTAGAAGAAGGGAGTGGATGGTCCAAACTATAGTGGAATGAAACAGCTCGCGGCGTGACGTGACACACCTTGTTATCAGCGTTATGCCCAGTTTTATGTACAAATTGCTAGGCCCAGGTCAAACGTCGAACTTAACATAAGAAGTACTAAATTGAGTGAATTAAGTTCATGGAGAGTACGACGTTAGTCTCAACTTAGATCGATCTTAATTCGAATTAAGTTCGACGTTTCACTGAAAGGTCGAGCTTTACCCGTTTGAATCGACTCAAATTGCAATTAATTTTGTCTCATGTGAAGTTCGACGTTTGACCTGGGCCTTAGTGTATTATATGCCAAGGGAAAGAAATCTTTTGACTGTACTTTGTTGCACTGATCAAACTTTACATTAAAACAATGAAGTTTGTTAATCACCTTCTGCTGTTGATCAAAGTGTTTGTCGCTGTAGTAGAACGGATAGGCAGAGAAAGGAAACTGGCTGCCCTGTTTACCCAACAGGAATTGCTTGCTTCGTTCGTGAATTTGCTGTTGTTGTTGCTGCTGCTGCTGTTGTTGCTGTTGTTGTTTATGTTGTTGTTGTTGAGAAGGCTGCATCATTTGGTAAAACTGTTGCCACTGTGTCTCGTCCCAGGCTCCAGGTATTCCCCACATGCCGGCATATCTCGGATCCATGATGGCCGGGTTCATAAACGCCGCATTCTCGGCTGCAACTGAAAAAGAACATATTACGCGTGAGCGAAAGGTCACCTTTTAATTTATACCTCAAAGAGCCAGTCACGGGATAGCCTCCTAGACAGACGTTGGGCTCGTCACGCAATCTTCCTCACCCACGACCGGGGGAGGAGATTGCAAGACGAGCTCAAAGAGTGTCTGCGTAGGAGGCTGGTAACGGGAAAACGAGATTAATTTCATATCATGTAAGGTAACAGTTGCTCTTGAAAATAGACAACTGGTATGGAGAAGTATTTTTCGGAAATACATCTGCGATCTACTGACAGTAATCTTCCTCAATTTCCAGTTGACAATAACGTAGTATGCAAGAAATTACAAGCGAAAAGATAGTAGTATCTCCCTTTCAGCAATGATCACCTCCCTCGGCGTTAATGTAATTCATAATAAGTTATTTGACTGTCAATTTCACCGATAAGAAACTTGTCAACAAGCTACTTTCTACCCCATGGTTGCCACAGACATCACTTTTCAAAATTCCTGGGTTTTTTTTCCCTGATAACAATAAAATTTCCCTGACCACATAAATACAAAATGCCAGATACAGTGGCGACTTCCAGCCTCCCCTTACAGCCAGACTGGTAGGTTTTAGGAAATGACCCCAAATGTTTCTTCCAGCCTTCAATGGTATTAAATTAGCCATGTTAAATTATTTCAATTTTCCGTGACTTTCCCGTCACCTTGAAGAATATTTTTTCCCTGACCATTTCCTGACCTGTGACAACCCAGTACCCCTTCTCCTTCGAGTTAAAGAGTACGATATTCTTACCCATCGGCATGTAAGCCTCAGGAGGAATCATCATAATTTGGCCCGTCACTGGATCAGCAGCAGCAAATGCTCCTGGTGGAAACATGCCGGGTGGGGCGGCGGCCTCCATCATGGGTGGACGGTACATAGCGCCGTAAATCGACGGATCGAGCACTACAAACGGCCCGGCATCCGGGATAGCTTGGGGCGCCGCAAACAACGGTGCAAAGTACGGGTTGCCGAATGCACCGCCATCCATTCTTAGAAACTGGGCGGCACCTGCATTTCCTAGACCAGACATCCCAGATTCTGGAGCAGAATCCCGTGAATGGCCTTCGCTACCATCACTTGCCATTCTTCTGCTCTGAGGGCCAGACCCAAAAGACGCGCCGTAAGGATTGGACGACGCAGCGTTTCTCTGCTCAGATAAGGGTGACGATAGGCGGCGCTGCCGTACGTTGCCAGCCGTCGGCGAAACGACGGTTCTCTCCGAAGATTGAGGAAGTCGAAGCTGAGCTCGTTTTTCCGGAGAAATCGATTCCCTTGATCCATGCCTCGCTGCATCCTCATTCTCGTCAGAGCTGATTTCTTCCGTTTCATCCCGTATTTCGTTCTCAAATCGCCCCGTTGGCAACTTCGGTTTCACTTCGTCCCGTCTCGGCGCACCTCGTCTGTCATCGTGTCTTTTCGCGCCTTCGTCGACTGAGTTTGACACATGACTACTTTCCACGTTTCTGGCAAAAGCGTTAAAGTCGGTTTTTTTGAACCCGTTCTTCTCCATTTCTTGCTCTCTTCTCTCGTACATCTCGATTGTGGCATTCGGAGGAACAAAAACTTTATCATCGTTCACAGCGCCGCCGCCACGCTCAACGTATCTCATTTGCTCTCCGTTGGCAACTGAAGTGAAACCACCTTTGCTGCATTTAAAGAAAGGAAACGCACTCAAAGCGGTACTGTTATTGTTTCGGTCATTACTCTTTTTGCCATCGCCCATCGCTGGAAGTTCTCGCGAGTCCGGTTTTCGTACCGCGTGTTCTTTGTACGAGGTTTGGTCTTTAGCGCGCGAGGGCTCACCGGACCTCGCGCGATCAGTGCCTTCCTTTTCTTTATCCTCTTTAGCAGATGATCTAAGCTCCGCGCGCGGCACGCCCATAAAAGTTGTCTCGCTCTGTTCTCGGCTATCGTAACTACTAAAACTGCCAGCAACTGGTCTGTTTTCTTCCACTCTCAAAGGTTTTGTCATTTCCGACTTCAAGTATTTTTGGTTCCCTTCTCGCCTCTCGACTGAGAGTCGGTAAGACCCTAATTCTTTGCTGTGAACAATAACGTTACCCAAACTTCCTTTTCCGTCGTCGCTTTTGTTGTTGTAATCTTTAACATATTCTCCGATAACAGACTTCTCATTTCTGCTCACAAAGGACTGGCTTCTTTGGTACTCCCCGTGGCTTGCGCTTAGCGGCATCTTAGCGCTTGAAAGATCTGCTTCTTTTCGTAAACTCGCTTGTCCAGCACCGAATTTGAACGTGCTCTTCGTAACTTTACCTTGCGTCTGCTCGGAGGACGACAAACCCTCGCGTGAAGACTCGCGTGACACATCCTGGGGATCGTCTTCAACATCTTTCCCGCCAAAACCCTTGTCGTTGCCGACCGCGCGTACCTGGGGTGGACGAGGTCCGTAATATGGCGATCGTTCCCATGGTGGCTGATAAAAGTTTCTCGCAACATGTTTCTGCGCATGCTCATAACCGCCTGTCCTATTCAGGTCGCGTTCCTCGCGAGGGGGTTGTTTAGTTCGCCAATTGTTTTCATCTGCCTTATCCTCCTGAGGTTGTTTACCAGGATAACCAGGATAACCAGGATAATTTGTAGTCCAAGGAACAACACCGCTGTGACTCGTCACAGACGGCGCCGACGATACGGAGCTCGAAGGATAAGAATATGTTTGTCTCCACGCTCCGGAAGAAAAACCTTTGCGTTCAGCATCGGACGAATAAGGTACGGTCAGCGGCGAACCGTTGTTTATGCGCGGCGCAATAGGTGTAAGTTTGGGCATCGTCGACGGTACATTCGAGTGCGTCGTACTTGAAGAGGTTCTAGGAGGTACGGTGTTGTGGTACGCAATAAGCGTTGGTGGTTCGTTTGCGGGGTACGGCGAAGAGCGCGCTTCAGTGTTATAGCTTTTTTCCTGCGAGGAAAACGTCACAGCACCGTTTTCAACAATCCGAGGAGGCGGTCCATTACTGAGCCTTTTAGTCCCGCCGGAATCAACTCCTAAATGTTCAAAGGTTTTCGGTTTTGACACTTTCTCGCGCGTCCTATCATAATCGCCCACGACCGATTGTTTGTCACGGCGAGACAAGTCCTCGTTGCTTTGAGTGTCACGCAGTGGAATGTCACGCAATGGTAACCCTTTGTTCTTTCCATCGTCTGAGTTTAGTTCGCTTCCTTTTCCTCTATCGGTGTACCTCAAAGGAGCATTTGAACTTTGCGTGTCAGCTGCTTTTCTTTTGTCGGGATCGCTAGGTTTCTTTGCGGCTTCCTGTTTGTCTGTTACTGTTTTAATAACACTTTCCGTTCGCATGGGCTCTTTAGCAGAGCGGGAAGGTGGCTCTGTAGGTCTAGTGAAAGGAAAAATATATATAAAATATAAATAAAAATACGAATAAACTTCTATTTTGTAAAAAGAAGGGAAGCATTTGCCAAGAACGGCCAAACCCTCGCGTTTGCCCTGCGAGGATATTCGTGAAAGAGAGTACATGTAGTTTCTCCTTTGCTGTGAGCGTGGCAATTCTTTTTCGGTTTTCAAAAATGGATTTCAAGGCTAATTCATCAATGACGAACAGAATAAACGACAAACTTACGTTACTTTACGTTTCGAGCTTGCGGTATAACTGCTTGTTCTTACAAGTCTTGCATATTTATACCGGCTAATATTTTCCGCGAAAACATGAAGCTAAAAAGGAGCATTATAAATAAACATACAGTCGCTCACCAGACAATAGCCCACAAAAATGTCTGACGAAATTTCAAACATGAGAAAATGAAATATAAATATACTTGAACAAATCGAACTGAGCATAACTTTCATGTACACTCATTCTGGAATGTTCTTTTGCATGTCGAAAATTAGAATCAGTGTAAAGTTAAAAAATATAGGCAAACTTCAAAATGTGACGGTCCGACGACATTTCTGTGACTGAGGTGGGCATATGTCCTTTCTAGAAAAACAAAATTATTTGCAGCCCTATTTGAAAATGCCATGTGCGTGTTCACACACACAGCTGAAAGGTTCGAAAGTAAAGTGTCCGCAAAAACCACAATGATCGCTTACGAGCAACTAGGCTTCAACCAGACTTCAGTTTGTCTTAATTCTCTCCAATCTTATCAAAATGATATCTGATCAGCCATCGGAGTAACAAATTACAGCTGAAAACTGAGTAATTGTTAACCTTTCTACTCCAAAAGAAATGAAAATGTGGTCATCATTAACTACTTCCGAAGAATCCAGAGAATCTTTAACACACACAAAAAGAGAATCAACAGAAGAGTCCATTTTCTGTTTTAATTACAATTAGCTCCCGCCTTTATCATTCTAGAAACTTGTTGTTTTTCTTCTTGCTCACCTGTCATGGCAGAGCAATTACACAGCAGAACATTCTGGACGCAGACATAGTTCACAAATTAGAAATACCACTGTCAGAAATGCGAAATTGTAGTGTATATAATTCAATACATGTCGGGCAAATGTTCCTTGAAAAAGGCAGGACAAACTCACGATATATTTGGACAGTGCGGAGTGCACAAAATAAAATAAATTGATGAAGAATACTGTTAACTACCAAGTTATAATTGGGGAAAAATGTTTAAAAATAGACGATTCAGTCAACAGACGGTTGCCGGATAACAATAGAATATCACTGGAGTTAAAAAAAAAAAAAAGAAAACGTTCTTTAAATATTAGCGGTTGATTTTCATACGTTGAAAAAAAAATTAACTTTGAAAATGTTTGCTATGTCTAAACGTCGATTTCTAGAAAGAAAAGATACCGTTCATGTATGCCTCGTTTGGTTTGGATAGCTCAAACGTTGGTGAGTCTTATCAGAATATGTTGCGGCTTTACGAGGTTCTTACAACAAAAAAAGAGGGAGGCATATTAAACATGGTTTATAACGACGTTCAGTCAGCTTAAATTACGAAATTGAAGCAGTATCCCAGACAATTAAAAGAAGGAAACTTATGGACAAAGCAATCACTGAGATTGTCGATTGAACTGCTCTGCTGAAGTACAGAGTATAGATGAATATTAATGAAAAGACGGTTGTAACAAACGGGTTAAATGAACGTGCTTCCTGTACCGCGTGGATTAAATCTTCCTTAGAAACCAACTCCAATGCAAACAAAATTTACAGCGTTTAATTTACATGCTAAACATGTTTTGCAGTTCGCGACAATTTCTGCAAGAGGCCATTACTGAAGACATTATTCATTGTTAGACCATTTTGCTCAGTTACACGAAAAACGGAGCGTTCAAACACAATAACGAAAACGTAACAGCAAAAATAGACTATCAACGAAAAATGGACAAATTAATGGATTTCCGTCTTTCGAAGCTTTTTTTGAAAAGCAAACAATTCTGAAGTCTCTTCTTTTAGAGTTCGACTCTGTCTTCTCCGTGCGATTTAAAAAGGCTTTAAAAATTATTTTGGCTACATAATGAAAGTTGCAAAATACTATGGTAACAAACACAAAATAATTCATTAGAAAAGTATGCTTTACAACGAGGGCTTCAGAGTTCAACGCGAACACGTGGTTAACATAATCATTTCATAGACTTCTTAGTGACAAGCACACTTCGAAATAAAACTACAGAACAACCGGCAGTGTTCCTACCGGAGTTCCGCCTGGATGAGATGTTAGTCCCCCGGTAGGGTTACCCTCTCACCACAGCATTTACAGTGAAACCTGTATTAAGCGGACCCTTGGGACCCTCACTAGCGTCCGCTTCATACAGGGTGTCCGCTCAAAACAGGGTCTAATATGTTGTGTAAAAATAGTTTACTATTAACCCTTTTGTAAAAGTGTAACACAGTGTAAGATCAAAGACTAGCATAGTACAATGTCCAGTCAATCAATGCATCAATTTGGAATAATCTACTTAGTTTTGAAATGACATCACTGAACAATGTTACAGGAGTCTCAGCTGAACCTTCAGAAGTAAAAGTCTGCTTATTGCAGGTTTTGTGCAACAAAATGGCTTAATATTGTTGTCCGCGTCCGCTTGTCAGGTGTCCGCAGAATGCAGGTTTATTTTACAGTAAATGTGGGAAGAAAATTTTGGGACTTCAGCTGGTGTCCACTTAATAGGGGGTGTCCGTTTAATGTGGGGTCTGCTTAATACAGTTTCACTGTAATTCGCCGGTCCCCACGAGAGGCAACTGTCCTTGACCAAGAATACAACACAAAGAACTAAGTTTCTCATTTTACTAACCTTAACTGGGAGGATGAGTTGGTAGTTTTGTCCAACGTTGTTGCTTCTTCGCTGTTTTTCACGCGTTGCCCTTGTCCGTAAGCAGCAGAGAAGTTTGGAAAACCCATCATAGGGCCGCCGTACGGGTAAACGAGATTTCCCGCGTTCAAAGCCCGCGAGTCCATTCCCGGTCCCGCGATCATCCCGCCAACGTATGGGAAACTCATACCGAGCGCTGAAAAGACAGGAGATATGACGGTTAGATAGAGACAGTAACGAAACTTTAGCTAGAACAGCTTGTTGATACAGCTTGACGGAGGGAAGTTATTCAACCAGTTACGTGGGTTAAACGTTGTGGAACGGTATCTGATTCAGTTGAATAACTTAACAAGGGAAATTGTAATCCTACATTTTAAAGACCGGTCTATGAGACTTCTGCACAGCCGAAACTCGATTAACCGGAAGTGGCGAATCAGCAAAGACACAACGCCAAGAACCAATCAGAAGTCGAACCGAAAGCTTGCGACCCATGCGAAGCGAGGGAACATGCGCGTAAGCCATTCACGATAGGTTTTGGCTTTGCTACTGAATGGAACATATTTAATATAATTGGTTAACGTACGTTGCAGAAGTTTTTGTGCAGAAAAGATGGGTTGCTACAAAGTAAATCTACAACAAACGCAGAAAGCGAGGAGCACACGCGCGCACACTGCCGTGCACAGTAAAATTACTTTATATCAATGCCAAATGCATGAAGAGAATAAGTTAGACTTTGAGCCAGATATCAGGACACATGACGTCAAAATCACATGACAATCAGCAATAATTTCGTTTGCAGTACTTTTTGAGAGCTTTCTGTGTCATCCGCGAACAATTTTTTGCATGCACACAATTAGTACATTTTTAAGCTTCCACCGACATCTCCCTCTTAAATCAAATCAAAACACTGTGTATGGAGCTGCATTAAATCCAGGTCATGAATATTTTCTTCATAATCCACAGGTATTCATTTCAGTTCCGCATTCAACACAATCCAAAGAGTGTCGTTGCTAAGCTTAATCTCGACTCTGACAGGGAAAGGACTACGAGATCACATTACAAAGCCGGGTGATTTCATGAAACGGGGCAGAATTTTCTTCAAGCAGCAACAACAGGAACAACTGTGTTGCCAGAGCGTCTTGTAACACACTCATGAAACTGCACCGACACAAGCAAGCCTGGGCTTTCGTCAGTTAAAGAAGCTTTGACAAGATACCACGTGTTTTAATCCGTCTTCACGTTCCTCAGTCGCCACCGTTATTGTTTCTTTTTGGTTTAAAATAATCTACTGTCTGACATAACTCCATTTAACTATCAACTGTAGTAAGAACTGTACGACTTCCGTCTTGAGTTGGATACACACCACTATATGTACACGAGTCAGCTCTCTCCCTCTCGTGACTCGTTTATATTTAACAATTAGATTATGAGATCAACATTTCTGTCGCGTGACTGAGTAAACTATCACATATAGAAATCGTGAGCGAATAATCTAGCTAATTGTCGTAGTATAAATCTACTAGTCGTTCGAAACCTAATACAAATCCTCTTCACAGACACTTCGAAAACGCAAAGAAGCAACGGCCATTTTTTTACAACTGCACACTGCCAGGCTACTCACAACCGAATAGCAAATAGCCGCCGTACGTAGCCAATAAGAGCACGGCATTCGTTATAGAACGTTTATAGATTTATACTAAAAGATTACTGATGGATGCAATTAGAATTCAGTTTTAAATGTTCTTGAGGTGGGCGGAAAACCAGAGAAATTCCTTTCAATTAACATAACACGCTACGCCTGGAAAAAGAACTCCATGATCGAGCAGAAAGCGAAAGATTTTCCCTAAAACAAGACGCTATTACTCAGTAAACAAGAGTAAAATATTCAACTGCCTCATTGAAAGTTGATACCGCAAATGAAACACTCGATTATGAAATTTCAGTACAACCACATATGACTTCTGAACAACTGTACACACATCCTAATTGGTCTAATATTTTATTTTGTATGTCCAATGCCAGCAGAAGTTTGATCGTTACAATCGGTTTTTAATAACGTTCTGCAGTTTTGCCATCAGTACATCTTTTTCACTTTATCAGTATTATCTTTGCTGCTTTTTATCCTTATGTAATCTCATATCACAACTCTATATAAGAGGTTGTCATTCTTATTTTAAGATCATTTCGCATGTGAAATGGCCTGACATCGCGTGATCAAAGTAGCTTAACACAAGCGTAGCTGACATTGTTCGAAATACCAACAAGAATCATAGAGTAGACACGACATCTTTTTACACGCCATGCAAAGTCTCATTTTCATAAACTAGAGTTTTAACCTTTTTATAGAGTGAAATGTTTTGTTCACTGTTTAGGTCCAGTTCACAAACCTTTACTATTATGAACGGGCTGATACCTCTAATTAGTACGTCTTACGTCGCCAAGGAAATATGCTTGCAATAATAACAATGTTCCTTGTTTAGTTTGGCCACGAATCCGTTATCAGTGAAAGACAAACCGTAAAATAACTCGGTTGCCAAAAGGAAAATTACGCAACAGTGCAACAATAAACTGAGCTCGCGGATCAAATTTAGAGACATGAATACAATGTACCTGAATTATTCATTTTCTACTTTCAAAAACCACAAAATCAAAACAAAAATTAAACCTTCGTGTACATCGCGTTTCTATATGCATGATGAACGACTTAACACTCAGTGTAATTCCACAAGACATTCCTCTAGACTACTCTAGGATTCACGTTTCTTTCATGTAAAAAATTCAAACAGCGAAAGACTGCTAGCAGATCTAGATAACTTCTGCTCCTTTTTTTACGCAAATGAAGTCGTAACGACGTATGTCTCGCCTTAACATTGCAAAACATAAACACAGTCGCCACCATCTTCATGCAAAGGTGCACGCCTGGAAATTGCGCCTAAAGCAATGGTGGTGGTCACATCACGACCATTGACTAAAGTTAAGATAGAGACGAATTAAGTTAGCTATTCCGATAGTGTGACCCCTTCTCTATTCACTCTAACTAGTTCTTAATCTAACTTGGCTGTAACAGTTAGGAAATTCATGCTCCGATGATCCAAAACTTTAATACGGTTATAAAGGTATATTTCTATCTAGAACAATATACAAACTAAATCATAGTTATGCCTAAGTTAGATGCTTGGGTTAAGCCTGAAAAGCCAATCAAAACGCAGTCAAGCACGTGCGGGATAAACATAATCATACAAAATCAAAAACCGTATTGAAGCGTTAAAGCGTAAAGAATAACGGGGTGAAAAAACAAAACAAAAACAAAGGAAAGAAAATATTTGCATCATGCAAAAACATCACGTCTATTCTTAGTAACACCCTATGAATGTTTGGCCATAATTCCTTATTTTCGACGACGTTTTCCCCCACGAAGAAATAAAACGAGAACGACAGACAGACAGCCTTTTAACGGTCAGCCATGTTTGCATTTCACAGATCACCAAATTAGGTCTGTCATGACCTACATGTACGCGGGATACGGTACTTCAAAGACTGACGTCATCCAAAGCCTAATCAGAACTAACTACAGTGAGCAATACTGGTGTTTTGTGACCGTAAAGTCCACTGCAACTAACTAACTGACGTCATTTAAGCTACGACTAACATGAACAATTTATAGCCAACGTTTAGATGTTACTGCAGCCATTTATCACTCATCCGAGAAGATGATTCTTTTAACGCAAACCGATGGAAAAGCCATCAATCTGTTAATTTTCGCTGTTAATCTCTTTTAGTGAGTGTATCCACTTAAGTAACATTTCTACGATTCAGGGAGCGAAGACAGAGGAAAAAGTGTTTCTCGTGACGAAACTCAATGCATTATTTACAAGACTATTGTTAAAAGAAACACTAAAGTTTCAAAATTCAAATGAAACTTGCACGAAAACGTTACAAAGTTGATCGAAATGATAATAATTACGAAAGAATTGGTCCGGAACACACGCCAAACCAAAAAATTCGTACCACCCATACACCGACTTGTCACATACAAGACGAACAGGTTTGTGTTTCATCTGGGTAGCAAATAAATAACACCGACAGAGACGTACCGTTTCAACCTTAACAGCTATAACTTAATCCCATGACAAGGGTACAAAGACTTTCATGCGAAGCACGTGACAAAGGTGATTGGTGAGAATGTTGTAAGCACATCCGTTATTTTATTTCTGAACAAGGAATAATCCCTGAAGCTCTCCTTTGCAACTGATATCCTAGTCTGAAAGCAATTTGAATTGAAACAGGAGGATATTTTTTGTGGCACAAACAACTGAAAAATGGACTACTTGGAAAATTATTAAAATGCAACCAAAAAAGGAATATGTTGTAAATCTAATTGTAGTTTACGGATGTGTTACTTTAAATGTCATATAACAAAGATAAGAATTTCGAGTAAAAACATAATTCTTCGAAATAAAAAAACTGAGATTTTAATGCGTTCGAAATAGAGGTATATAACATACCTGAAATAAAAGGCCTAGGTAACGCTGAAATGAAAAGATTGGTGGAACACCGTGAAATAAGATACAAAACTGCACAATATTGATCTAATTGTGCAATATGAAAATTATGCTTTTAGGAACTCAAATAATACTTTTTTCATCGTACTTTAAATCGTTTTTAATCGATGATAACCAATTTTTCTGGACACTATTTTTGTTTTTCTACGAAGGAGTCACAATAGGCGGAAAAAATCTCCCGTTTGCTTCTTAAAAGTAATAACAAAAAAATAAAGATTTATTTTCGACCGGCTTTCACTACAAACTGATGTTTTTTCCCCAGCTTCCGTTTGCAAAAACTGGAATTAAAGGATCATTGGGCAATTAAGATGTTCGTTCTGTTCTAAGAATGAATACTAAACGATTTCTGGTTCGTCATAAATTCTGGTCAAATTTTTCATCGTTATCAACAAAATTTTAGCACGACAAAATTTAAACGACCTCTTATCCAACAAAACGATGTGTTTATTTGCAACTTTGTTTTGGCAATAGACGCAAACAGGCATAACAAATTCGACGCTTACAGCACTTTACTGATATAGTCTATTTAAATCAAGCGGTTTTTAATGTACACCTCGTTTATCCCGTTTATCATTTCGAGAATTTATCGACGAGGAAACCGGGTGTTTAGACGGCGAGGCTCTTAAAGAGTAAAAAGCGTCTTCACTATTCAAAAGCAGTGACTGGGTTTGAACAAATAGTGCACAACACAAATACATCGTGTTTTTATTTTTTCCTCTCCTGTCTTTGTCTCCCTGAATCTTTTCCTCTCCGCCTTGAGGCAATCCACGGTTGTTCAGTTCAGTATTTCGCCTTAGCTTTGTGTATTCAAAAACCGAATTCAATCAATTATTCGTCAAAACTGCAACGAAACGGCGTGTGATTAAAATTAACTATTCCGCCTCCGTGTTACGTGACCCATTGCATTTCGAGGGCAAAGCGAACACAAAGCTGTTTTCTACTCGGCGAAAAATAGCTTTTAGTGCTTCCTGGTTAGGTATAAAACGACGCCCTCGACGAGTATAAACTACTTTTATTTGAGAAACAGTTACGTAAGCTGTATTGTGCGATATTTTTATCGATATACGCACAACCGTCGACCAAAGCACATCGACCTCAAGCAAGAATTAAAAATAAAAGAAAGTGAAGGCTGCAAAACGGAAAAAAATAGAGAGTTGTAATGATACAGTAATTCATTGGACGTTTGGACTGAATGCACGTCTGAAAATGTTATAGCCAGGGCTACCATATCGACACGACATATGTCAGCTATATATGTCGTCCCTAGCAGGTTTTTACAAATATAACCGGGGCGATATAACGTCTCTAGAGCTTATGAATTCACGGAAATTGTAACGAAAAAAGTGAGCGACATTTGTCATTGCTGTATTTATAGGTTCAATTCCGAGGTCGATCAGCTTAAGATATCAATATCGAACGCTTTGAAACCTAAAGAATAGCAGAGTAGAACTCTAGCCTAAAAAATATCGAAAACTGAAGGTTTTAGGCACGAAATATAACGGGGAAAAAGTAACAAAGGGGTCAAATTTGCTGAAAAATCCGCGGGATTGGTCGAAGCTACGTACCATGCAGAATTGCCATCAGCTGTCGCAAACAGAATCAGTAAAATATACAGTATACGGCGTCTGGCCCTGACGTACATCGCATGTTTGTTCGACGTTTTAGTCATTGGTTGGCTTATTCGCAGCGCATTGGGCACGGAACAGGCGTGAAATAAAAGCTTACAGTAGCTTTTAACAAGAGAGAAATCCAAATCACTGTGAACAACTGGTCACAGACAGCAACTAGCGGTTGAATTTTCGTTTTGAGAACAAAGTACAAACACGGTAAATTTTCGTTTCAGAGACCGCCTCTCTCTCAAACAAAAACAAGACCGTTTCAAAACACGGAATTCGGTTTGAAATAAGCCATCACAAAAGAAGAGGAACATACCTAAGTTTCGACGTTATTAGAGAGCGTCGAATCCGGCCATACCGACCTTCACTTTCCGTCGATAACGCCTCGTAAATTGTTTCAGTTAGGTCAAAATGCACACATCGAAGATTTCGTTATGACTTTCAAGCACATCCCCGAAGACACATGTTTTTTAATAACACGGACAAAAGATTTTTCTTGTCTTTTGAACGGCACTTAAAATACACACGAGAAAGTGTGAGCCGTGTAAATAGAGAATTGCCTGCAAGCGGGGGCGCACTATACTTGTTTGATAATTATTATGTAAATCTCTTCTTTTATTCAAATCGGTCGCAGAGCCACTCTTCACTCTATTGTGGATTGTAAACAACGTTAGCCGTTCAACAGTTTTCGCAGCCATGCAATATCCGTGACCCTTTTAGTTTTCTCGGACACACACAGACATGAAAAATCTCCCAGCTGATGATATGCACAGTGCCAAAGAAAATAGTTCAGAAGCTGTAGCAATTTTGTATGTGTTTCGAAAATATTCCCATCCCAATTGGCGCCTTGGTACCTGTAGTTTGTTGTCAATAGATTATAAAAGCCGACAAAGACCAGGTAAAATGTTTTCATTTTGATTAACACCTCGCGAAACTTAGGATTGAGAGTTTTATACATCGGCCGAGAGGAGGCCAAGAGTGTTAGCTAATGTTTTAATACGCGCGCGAGCTTGACACGTCAAATATATAGCTCATATACATAAATAAATCTTATTTTGCATTTCTGGTGCTTTCTGTACTTTGGTAGGGAAGTTCTTTTTTAAATAACTTTTGGTTTTGTTATCTTCGTTAAACTTTTAATGACATACACGGTAGTTTTTATTAGTGTTTTGCACAAACGTTTTCTACGTTATGGTGGACAAAAAGTTACATAACATGTGTTCATTTACGTTGTCTCTGTTATGAATTCATGACGGGACAATGAAACCGAAATTTTAAACAGCAGGGATGATATTTGGTTAGGTGTCTCTTAATATATAAAAATCTTTACATCTCTTTCAGCTAGGCTCTTTACTTTAGATTCCAAAAAACTGAACTTAAAAAAAAACCTAAATGCAGATTTGCTCAAAATTTTAACTATAGCAACCAGAAACTTGCAGCTCTCAGATCTGTCTAAAACAGGGTTTTAATTAACGTACCTGATTAAAAACTAAATCTCACAGCAACCAACGTTTATAATAGCTATTTTTTTATCTCCTCTGGATGACATTACTTTTCTTTAAACGTTTACTCGTAAAAATTAGACGTTGCGGAGCCAGAAACAGTCTTGAGGGTATATTTTTTTGAAAGCAACTTAGACTCACGTTATATCTTTATACTGATATGACATCATCAAACATGTTGAGCGGTAGAAGTTAAGATTCATTATACAAAGTTCATTACAATTTTTCCCTTTCAAATAAGCAACTCGGAATATTTCTTTATTATCGGTTAAATCCGTATTCTTTATAAATACAGATTAAAAAACTTAATCGTTTTTCCCGATTTAAAAGTTCTCGTGCGATTATTGCAGTAACTGTAACCTTTTTCTCCCGAGCGTCGCATGGCTATGGCCGTCGAATTAAAAAATATCCCGATTTGACGAAAAGGTATACAGCAAGAAAGCGAAAAATTCAACTGAAAAACATTAAATCAATGGATTCACTGTTATACATAACTATCTTTTGTGTTAGCATTCGATTTTGTCTAGAAAAAAGTCCAACCATTCCATGCACAGACTACACAAGGGTCGACTGTACTAGTGTGTTTGAGCAATGTATTTGTCTTGACTGAATAAATAAATAAGTGTCTTAGTCACAAATAAACGAATTTTTTCATAACAATTGTTGCTTCAAGTAAAGGAATACCAACTCTCCGACATGTGCTTTTCGCTTTCGTTCGTTGAGAACCAAACAGCTAGAAGATGTCAGTTATTAATGTTTCGTTATTTTTCTTTCGAAAGCTCTTCATACGCTGAACTAGCTCTGCTTCCGACCGTGCTAGAGGGAACATAAGATTGTTAAATCTACAAAACTGAAGGAAACTCATTCTGTTACCTTATCGCGGTTTATAAAACCGTGAAAAAATCTTTGGCCGTGCGTCGCGAGTGTTTCATCAGTTACTAAGCCATTAAAGTGATACGACACTTCGCGAACCCACAAAGACAAGATTGCAGCACGTGAAAATAAAGAAAGGAAAGCAAACCCGGAAAAAAGTCGAGAAATCGAACATTCGACGCTATCGTTTATGACGTAACGCACTAATTCGGCTTTAGCGCTTTTCGGTATCGCTTCATCAGTGAATTCTTGTTTGAGTTAGCTGTCCTGGTTTGAAACATCTACAGAATTAAACGTCTTTATAAACTGCGCACTCAAATCGATTACAGTACTTTCGTAGTATCGAGCTTTTTTCGGGTCGGAAAAGGAAAAAAAAAGATATTTTTACATGTAAAAGTCAAAACAAGACAAACGTGATATCTAAATATTAAAGAACCCGAAGAGATAGTTTGTGGCTCAAATTTGCATTCCAATAAGAGTACATTCTATTTATGTTTTAAACATAGTGACAATGCTCGTTTCTGCGCAAGCATGCGTGCGGATCAGATGTAAATTACAACGCAACAATGGACTCTGTTCAATATTACGAGCCAACTTGGGTTAATATGCGAGTACATCATCTCTCAACCGTGCGTAACACAAAAACTTGTTTGGCGCAGAAGTCAAGATTTTATATAAAATTCTCGCGACAACTCCAGATATTTTTTTTTCGACACCGGCTTCACTGACGCAAATGAATTCGGCCGGATGTCAACATTATATCGTCTGGTATTTGTTATGGTTATATGAGTAAATTGAAAATGCCTGGGTTTTCAATTACCAAGACTCAAATCATGTTATTTGACCACGCGACGCGAGGCATGCACCAACAACACTGAAAATTTCTGCTCACTGTAAAAGGCCTTTGCTATTCGAGCTCAGAATTCCAAGAAAACTCTGTTTCCAAGTCGATAAAAGACATCTCAAACAAACATTATCAAACAATCATGAGGGTGAAAGAAGGCTTCCAGTTTCGATATTTTTGTCGCCCGAATCAATTTCTGTGTGAATTAAGTCTCGTATTTTAAACCTAAGAAGAAAGGTTCTTCGAATACAGATTCAAAGAAGAGATCGCCCTGAGGTCGCGCGAGCGCCCAAGAGGTTACCACTGTCTCTCGTTTCGAGATCAACCAGTATTAAATGCAGATTCGACCAACCTCAATTTGGTTGCGGTTTCTCCAGTTTTTTTGCGCTAAACAGTGAATATTTTCCCTACAGTAATATTTTTCCGTGAAAGTTAAAACATTGAAATCGAAAAATTTCAAACGTTAACAAAGTGTAGAATAACGGGGAAGAAATAAAGGAGCCGTTTAAATAACTATTGTTGGCCGAGTTGAAATTGAACATGGTAAGAGAACAGGGATTCCATTTGAAAAACACGTTCTTGACTCGCCTACGAACACTGAGCCGCGAAATGTATTTACAAATAGCTGTTCATTTTCCCGCTTGAAAGCGATGAAGGAACACACAGATTTCTTTGAAGTAAACGAAGGCACACTATTTTCGGCGAGCACACACGAACGGATCACGGACAAAAATATAAGGGGCCACCGAAGAAATCAAAGACGCATTAAAGCCCAGCGCTTAAAAACACAATTTTAGCAAAACTAGCAATCACAATAAAAACAAAGCAACAAAACAGGGAGTTTTAGGCCAAACAACATAGCGAAAATACCAAAATATGGGAGAGAGAATATCGAATGCCCAATCTGCCGCAAATATTGCGAGATCGCGTGTTGGCGACTTGACGAATTCGCGAGAAGGCAAAACGCTCAAAAAGCGCTAGATTGCATTTCGTGTGCAAAATCAACGTATCAATAATTTTCCCGTGGTCTGTAAGCATTGCCCTACACTTCGGCATGTCGATTCAACATCTTCGTTGCTTTCCGCGACAGTTTCAACTCGATGTGGACGACGCCTTGAGGAAGTGGATTTACAAAGGACGTACTGACCACCGCATCGGAAAATGGAGTAACAACTTCTCAATTTGAAGCGTTCGCGCCCTTGTTTAAGTCGTGCTGTTGCAGTTTTTCTCGTGTTGTTTTTCTTCTCGCCTACGCTTGGCAAAGAAGAGAACGATAAAAACCCCCAATGACGGTAACGAAACACATGGAGAGATATCCGTATGCCGTGATGAATATCACTTAAAATACTCGACGAGACCAACGCGCCACATATACAGACAGAGCTTGTTTTAGCGTGATCCACACGAAAATTACCAATAACACTGAGTGAGCATTGTAACATGGTCCTACAATTACTTGTGCGAGTGAAGGGCTCTTTCAAAGCATGACTTGGCATTTATTGTCTGTCCTCCTACTGAAAGGAATCACCCTTAAACGATTTCACGTTTTCGAAATCCACCAAAATAAAAATTTCCCGTTCCGCTGCAACACAGGGAATTACAACACTTTACTCGAGTTCGATTATAACAGTTGTTTCAATCGATCTAACTTGAGATTACATTGAGTCACGTAGAACTCACGAGGGCGAAATAGCTTTTGCTCCTATTAGCTATGAGGTACGTAACATGATCGAATACACATCGTCTGAGTCCAGATTCCACCTCATTACACGATACACGCTCGTTTCGTTTTGCGACAAGCTAGGGCACACAGACCGCCACGAAGATGCAAGTTCCTAACAAACTCTGTACAACCCACAGGCTCGGTAATTCAAAAATATTAATTTTTGGTCTGTTATTTGCGCTTCCTTCGCAAGTTAGCTAATATCAGACGAACCAGCAAACCGTGGCACAACGTTTCAGAGTGGCGATTACGTATGTGCAGCGCGGCAATAATTCCAAACTTCGCCCCTTCGAGTAAGCACGAAATATTACAGAAATGTGCTACGACAAAGAGCAGTTTTACGTCCCACGTGTTAGTTGACAAAAAAATCATTCAAGCCGTGGGCTGTCTACGATTTTGCACGAACTCGCACAATAAATAATTGAACAAGGGAAGAAAACTGCGCGGACTTACCTGCACTGGGCACCGTTGGTGAATAGTATTGCGCTTGTAACGGAGAAATAAACTGTTCTGAATTTCTTCCAATTGCTACTTCTGACGAGGAAAAGCCTGCAGGAATAGAGCCATTTTCCAGCGTCGTTTGCGAAGGAAAAGCCTTGAGCTGTCGAAAGATCGGGTTTGTTGTTACAGCCTCATGGGCGAAATGTTGCCGAGGGTTTGCCGTCTTCGCTTCCAAACTGTGTACTTTTGTCGACAAAAGGGCTGATTTTTCTTGCGATCTGTCCATGTCTATTTGTTAACAAGCGAAAACATCGGTCCTGCCGGGCGGCAAAATTCTCGTAAGCATAGTTTCGAACACAGTAAAGCGACTCTTCGTGCCATTAGCAAGTGAGGTGGAAACGTGCAAAGCTAAAATTGCTTTCAATTCAAGTTGTCTGTGATGTTGAGTTCTGTACAGAAACAATGATCTTGCATGCTAATTGGTCGACCGCACGCCCCCTGCAAGCCGAATTTCACTCATTCACCAATCACGTGGCGGCATAGTTGACAATTTCCTTGATACCTAACACTTCTTATTGTGAACAATGCGAGGCGTTTTGGCATATATACGTAATTTAGCGCAGAAACAAAAATATGCTGGAGTTTTCCCAGAACAAATTTAAAACGCGGCGGTGTTATGATTTAAGGAATCATTATCGAAAGCCACACACACGTCTGTTTAATCGAAAACGACGATAGAGGCGTGTTGCGTAACGAAAGCAGTCACTCGATTTCCATTTAACAAGCGCGCTATGGAATCCATCACAGATATCAAAGGTTGACATTTGCTTTTTTGGCCTAATCGCGTTTTGAATTCCGTTCTCGACTGGTAGTCTATCAGGATTTGGGTTTTTTTGTACCGTCGTAATCCTCAAGTGGCAATTTGTTTAGCGACTTTAATTTTAAACCGAGCATCAGATCAGCGTAGCACCAGCTGTACTTTGTTTACGACGTGTACATTCAAAATAAAGGTATATTGAGCTGACAACATGTTTTTTAATTCTGCCGAATCACTCATTTCATCAATATCAATGAAAGACCGACATTTGCCCCAAGGGAAGGTGTTGTGTTTCTTTTGTCGACCAAATCAGCTGAGGCAGAACCCAAATAAACAAATCGAGTAGTTCGACCGTCAACTCATCTGTACGCAAAAACGTTTGCGCGCTATTTCACCCATGTTTCATTTTCGTGAGTCGATCGTATCAGCGGCCAACAAAGATGCTTCACTTGTGACTTTAAGATCGGCATTCATATCAGTTTTTCAACATGCATCTTTCGATCTGCTGCTTGAAGAGGATGCCATGTAAAGGTGTGAGAAAATCACAATATAGATTACATCAAAAGTTATTTTGGTAAATTGGCGTCACGCAACGCCAACGTAGCCAGATCAATAAGTCATTTATTTACATCTTTTGCGGTTTTGATGCACTCAAATGCGAGCACGTCTTCAGAAATTGATTGACTTTTAGCTGTAAATCTCCAGATTTCAATCAAAGGTCGAAAAAAAGAACGTTCTTTTTTTCAATTTGTTTTTTTTTTTTTTGGAGTCTGTGTTTTCAGTAAACTCCCCACGGAGAAACGTTATTGAGTCTATATTAATTATACCCGTATGATACGTGTTATGTAAATTGGGCTTAAAAGCACTTTTGTAACAGTTTATAAATATAAATCATTGGCTAGGCTACGTTGTAATATGCTGGAATAAATTGGTATAACCCATTTAAAGAAAAAAAAAATCCGACAATTTTACCGCTTCGTGTTGGTGTTCCTGTAACTGGATGATTTCGGAACAACTGTTTACACACGTTTCATTGACCCGAGGTATATGGTTTCGTTCGCGAAAATTATTATTTACTATGGAAAAACGTCAGATTGGTTTTCAATTTCTATATTTAGTTTCGAGGCGTGAAATCGTGTTAACGCGCGCGAGAATTCCGCGAGCATACGTTACCCCTGCGGCGAAAGCGGAAGTCGAATTTGAAACTTGTGGTGACTGTACTGTTTCGGAAATCAAGCCTAGACGGTCGACCGATTGCAAAAAAAATACAGACATCCCCTTCAATGACTGTATAAGAGTCACACCATTGTAATCGAGAATAAAACTTTGGGTGTAGCAGACTGTGAAATTCTTCGCTTAAAACTCTGCTGAAAAGCACAGATTCAATAAATTTTTATGTTAATGCTAGTGCCGTAAAATCAGTCTAACTTGTAGCTTGTGCAGTCACGGACTATGACCATTTAAGGCCCTCATTCTTTCAAGCAGTGGTTAGTCATGTGCTGCAGCTCTGGCAAATTACTCCGCTCAAAGAGAAAGCATAAAGAATCCCGGTTTCGCACTAGTTTTACACAATAGAAGCATTCAAGACATCAGGTGATTCCTTGCATCATACAATTATACAAAAGTAAATTTAAGGTCATATCCTAAAATGGTGATGAATTACATTGTAATCTATTGGAAGAATAATTCTCAACCTATTAGGTCACCGACAATTACAACAAAATTGCCTCGCTGACTCCCCGACTATACTAATAATGGAAATAACTGACTTTAATGAACTGTTTTTCTACGAT